TTTTTTTGCTTTGTCTTTCCCTTTATTTCTTCACTTCTTATCTCATCACCAACGACCCACAAGACACAAGTTCCAAATCCAACGTTGTTTCTCATTCCTCTTCAACCCAAAACAATCTAGGTAATTAACAAGAACAACATCAACAACGACAAAAAAAAAACATTTGTTTGTTCCTACTTAATAAACATTATTTTCTTTCTGTTCCATTGTTTTATTGCAGGGTTGTTGAAAAATCTAAAGGTGTTTATTTACGAGCTACCCACAAAATACAACAAAGATTGCTTATGAATGAGAGGTGCAAAACACATTTATTTGCTTCGGAAGTTGCTATTCACAACCGCATTATTGAAAAGTGACTGTTAGAACTTTCGACCCTTACGAAGCTGATTTCTTCTTCGTCCCCGTTTACGTTTCCTGGCAACTTCAGCACCGTGAACGGTTTCCCAGCGATTGGACATTGCACGCGCTCTTATCACCTCCGCCGTTGAAACTCGTCTCCACCGAATATCCATTCTGGAACAAAAGCAGCGGATCCGACCATGTCTTCGTAGCTTCTCATGATTTCGGTGCATGTTTTCATACCCTGGTGCGTAAAGCGTAATCTAACGTCAACTTCATTCTCTAAAGCTTTTTTTTTAAACGTGCGTTTTCATTTTAAATTTATTTTTTTGTTTCCTATGTGAAGGAGGATAATGCAATGAAAGATGGCATTCCGGGAATATTGAAGAATTCGATTGTATTGCAGACGTTTGGAGTTGAGTATAAACATCCTTGTCAGGAGGTTGAGAATGTGGTTATTCCACGTATGTTTCGCCGGAGAAAATATGGAGAACGCTTGAGAAAGCTCCGGTCAACGGCCGGCGAGATATTTGGGCTTTCTTTAGAGGAAAAATGGAAGTTCATCCTAAAAACGTCAGTGGACGGTTTGTACCAGCATGTAATTACTATTCTCCCCACTGTAACATCATAAATTAATTTTTACCTTTCATTAATTAATTAAATTATAGCTACTTAACCCCTATTTAATTAATTATTATAACTATAACTTCCGATATTATATGAAATTAACTGTCTTTTTTATCACCTTTTGGAAATTTTTGGAGAATTGACCGATTTTTTATTTTTTTTTGTGAAGGCGAGTGAGGACAGAGATATGGAGAAAATTTCAATGGTGATCGGAGATTTCTATCTTCGACGCGCATAGATTTTCTGGTTACCAAATGGAAATAGCACGTTCAGTGTTCTGTCTATGTCCACTTGGGTGGGCCCCATGGAGTCCAAGGCTAGTTGAATCAGTTGCATTGGGTTGTGTGCCGGTAATTATTGCCAGACGGAATCCGTTTACCGTTTTCCTCAGCCGTGAAATGGTCGGAGATTTCCCTCACGGTGGCGGAGAAAGATGTCGGGAATTTAGATAAAATTCTCGAGCGCGTGGTTGCGGACGAACCTTACTTTAATTCAGAGGAATCTGTGGGGACCCGAATACGAGACAGGCCTTGCTTTTTAATAGTGAAATTCAAGAAGGTGATGCCACGTGGCAGGTATTGTACAGTCTGAGTCAGAAGCTGGGTAGGTCCATAGGTTTCAGCCCAATAATGTAATGACACGTGGTTGAATTCGATTGGATGAGAAGTTTGACAGCGAATGAACTGAGTTTCTGACGTGGATGCGTTGGCATTTGCAACTATGGCTATGGATGACAGCTACGAATTTAGTTGGCATTTAATGAATTCCATTGGTGGGACCCACGAAGATATAGATTAGATATTGGTTATTGATGAGGTGGCAGGGATTGATTGGCTGCATGTGTACAATGATAGATATTTTTTTTGTAAATAAATTACTTTTTGAAAGTACTACATTGGACTAGTAATAAACATTTTTTTATATAATATTCTCGACTTTATTTATAAATAATTTTTTTTAAAAATTTTTGGTCTTAAATATAAACAATTATTTATATATTTAAATACGTTTAATATTTGTATTATAAAATTATCTTTATATTAATTATTTAATAGTGTTAATGAATGATGATTTATTTAAAAATATATTAATAATTATATTATTTTTCCTAAATAAAATCAATGAATATATTTAATTGTTTTTTTTAATAAATGTGAAATGTGTCTTTTTTTGTTTATAAATTAGAGTGGAGTAATACTTTTTGAGAGGGTATTGAATGTGGACATTGAAATAATTGATGAATGTGGAAAAAGGAGTTGTGGGTGTCAGAATATTGTCGTTTATTTTTAATGTGAAATGTGGGAAGTAGTTTGTGTCAGTGTTCACGGATTTGTTATACAGTAATATGATGCGTCCAAAATCCAGCTAAGCAAATGGGGAGGTGGGACAGCAAACTCTTTTATGTCATACCACTTCTGGTTTGTAATTCTTTTGGATTTAAATATGGTTTTGAAAGCAAGTTTTGTTAATGCTACCAATAAATTGTTAACTAAGAGTTAAAGCTTGTTTATGGTAGTTAATTAAGAGTTAGTTATTTTTGCTATATCCTCTTCATTCCTATATAAATTTATGTATGCACAGATAAGATTCTTTTGTAAGCATTATGAACCAAATTACCAATAACATTTTATTTATATTATTCTTCTCTCATCTATATTCATCAAAATCATATTATGCTCTCTTTTTTTTTTAATAATACGGGACAAGCTCTAAAGAAGAAAGAATATTCAAAAATCAAAAATCAAAATGAAAATAAAAACCCTTTAAAAGAAGCAACACTAATAAGGTTAGAGAATCAACTTAAAAATAACACAAAAAATCTTGCTTAATTTTATAGTTACTCCATATAACTTAGAGTGCAAATCACCAATTTAAAAAATAATCATTTGCCAAAAAGATCCCTACCACTAACACATTCAAAATCAACGAGATCCTTACTATCGAATCTAATTCAATCACAATTCTTTTATATTCAATCTTCAATACAATCTTTAAATCACTTAAAACGGAGTAAGTCTGAGTCATAAAGAAAAATGATATAATTTATATAAAAACAACTTGAAAAAGAAGAGCAGTGAGCTTTTGACCTTAATTTCAGTACCACCAACCAACTCTAGGATCCACTTACATTCTCTTTACATATACCAACATCATCAACCATCATCATACATATTTGGAATAATTTGAGCTCACTCTTGAAGATTTGGAACTAAGAAAGAGACTATCATTGTGAATTCAACTCAAATAATAAACATTTATAATTTATCTTTGTATTTTCTATTGTATTGGTATATTTGTAAAGGATCCATGTCATCTAAAAATTAGTATCTAAGGCTCAAAGGTAACAATTTTAACTCTACTTTTGTTTTTTGTTGTTACACTGATGTCGAACTGTGTCATAAGCAGTTCAAAGCTTTATTCTTTAGTAGTGAGATTTTTATCCAACAATTTTCTATATGTTTCAGCTTTGTCGTTTTCATGGTAAGCGCTACCAATTAGACATGCCTCCAACCTGTTAGTTGAAGGTGGGTCAAATGAATACTCTATAACACACTCGTTGATCACATCAACTTGACAACATGAATCTTCATATGATGGATTTTCATAAATTTTGGCATAGTAAATTCATTTTTCTCATCTACTACCTCAAAGGTAAGTTTTCCTCTTTTCACATATATTATAGTTGTGGTGGCTACGAAAGGTCTATATAAGAGATTATAGATTTGGGTGTCTTCCTCCATCTCCATAATAACAAATTTAGCAAGTATAAATAGTTGGATAGTCTTTATTGACACATCTTCTAATATTTCTACAGGGTAGTTTATAGATATATTTGTTAATTGTAATGATATATTAGTGGATTTCATCTCACAGAGATCGAGTTTACTAAATATGGATAAGGCCACAAGCTCACACTTGCCCCTAAATCACATAAAGCTCTCTCAAAAACTAAATGTTCCTTTAACACAAGGAATTGAAAAACTCCTTGAATCATTTAACTTTGTAGGCAGTTTATTTTGGATAATAGCGTTATACTCCTCGATCACCGCTACATTCTCATTATCCTTTAGTGTGTGTTTATTTTTCATAATTTTCTTAATAAATTTAGCATAAGAAGGCAACTGAGATTGATCCTCTGTAACTGAAATTATTTATATATAAATTTTTCAATAATTCTACAAACTTTTTGAATTGTTCCTCAATTTTAGCTTTATCATATCTATGTGGAAACAAAATAGGTGTTTTGTAAGGTAGAGAAGCAACATATGATTTTTTTATTCATACTTTGCAACCTTATAGTAGGTTGGTTTGACTCACTCTTTTCATTTTTTCCTCATATTTCTTACCAGCATCCTCTAATTGCTTTCAACATCATAACACAACAATGTAATGCCCTTTTGGTTTTGGCTCATGATGTCCCATTTTTTTTCCTGAGAGGGACGCATAAAGAAGTTTTTTGTTTCACTAATTGAGATATCTTGATATCTAACATCTTATTATGTGTGATATAGAGTCGACCTTAGACGCCAATTCTCTAAAAAATTCATTGGTGTGTAAATTCTGGTTTTTAAAATCTTCGTTTTGTCAAGTTTGGGTTATGAAAATTTTTCCATCAACAATTCAAGGTTGTACTTTCTATGAGCATGAACACCCTTTTCTCCCCAAAAGCTTGGAGGATCAGCTAGCATGAGGTTTGCTACAAACTGAGGAGAGTTATTTTTTTTTGGAATAATTTGGGTGGTCTCTCCAGTCAGAATTATAGGTATTTGAGTATTGGTTAGCTAGGTTATCCCATTTCAATCACCTGACGTGCAGTACTAGTGAAACCGGCTACACTGTAAATATCATAGGTGGGGGTAGAAAGGGCTACAACGTCAGCGCTCAAATTATCGAATTTTTGAAATAAGGCTTCAATCTTAGCATTAATATGGTCCAAAGAAGTCTCCTCATATAAGCCTCCCTTTTGGGGTGATTTCTCATTAGAGGCACACTTGTTTCCTTATTGATAATAGACCCCCCACCATGTCTTCTATGAATGCATAAATTTCTTTCATATCTTTATTCATTAATGCCCCACCTATAACTGTATCAGTTGTCATTCTCATAAAATAGAAAAGATCATTATAAAACGTATAAACTATCAACTATTTATCAAGTCTGTGGTGGGGAAAAGCCTAAGCATTTCCTTAAACTATTCTCAACCTTTGTATAGTGATTCCTCGTCGCTTTGCTTAAAACTAGTTATCTGATTTCTAAGTCGAGTAGTTTTGCTATGAAGGAAATAACAACTTAGAAATGCGATTGTTAGCTCATCTCAAGTTGTAATGGAATTTGAGGGTAAGAATAATAGCCATGCTCTGGCTCTCACTTGAGAGAAAATGGAAAAGTGTCAGCTAAATCAATTCTTGGCTTACTCTGTTCATTTTTATAGTGTCACAAAATTTGACAAAAATAGAAAGATGCAAGTATGGGTCATATGTTGGTGAACTAGAGAATTGGTCCTACTGGAACATGGGCACTAATGAAGGTTTCAACTCAAAATTGTTTGCTTACACAGTTGGACGCACAAAGCTCGAATGAGGTTTATTATCCATGGGGGTTGCGTAGTCTATAAGAGCGTGATTGGGTTCGGGCATCACTAATTACTATTGTCTACGTCTTTCATGAAAATAGTGTTCTATTTCGTTTATCGGTTCATCAAGGTTCCTATGATTTCAGGTTCTTCGCATTCAATTCATTAATGAGAAAAGTTATAGAAAAAAAATAAAAGGTGGTCTGGGCTATTTGGTGAAATTAGAAAGATTCGATGTAAAGTTTTCATTCGGATAATTCATCACTATTGATTTTTCTTCTTCCCCTCGACCGCTTAACCAGAGCTCTTGATATCAGATGTTGGAAATCCACCAAAAACCTATGATGAATTTTTATCAATCTTGATGAACAAGATTGTTATCGATGTACAATGACAGTGAAAAATATATAAAAAAAAAGAAAAAAAAGAAGACAATTATTTTCTGCAGAGTAACTCTCTGCCCACAAATTGTGGAAAACTTTATTATTCACTTGCAACGGTAAATTTTATGAATACAACTTGATTGAATTGATTACAAAAATAGGGTTCACTTCCTCTATTTATAGATTTATGTTAGTTTTCTCTCTAAACCAAAACTCAAAACTATAAAAAGCTCAAAATACATATTTTTGGAAC